GTAAAAAGTCTTTAGACGAGCAGTGCAACTACCATCAAACCAGTTTCATAGACAGAAAGCAACACGAGGATGCTGCCTTAAATGAAATTTCTGAAAAATTTTTGGGAAGTTGAAGAATCCGGCACAATTTCTAAAGTAACTAAGGAGCATTTTCACGAAAACATACTAAGTAAAGAAAAATTATGAAACAAAGCATTCAACATGACGGAATTTGCTACCGATTCAATTTGCTTTGGAAGAACAACATAACGATAGCTTGCATATACACCTGTACTTCTAGTCCATAAACAATCATCATTTATGATTGAAAGAACCAAGGTCGCACCACTTAACCAAGAAAGCTGACCCAAGCTCGAATTGCCAGCTGCAGTAATTGGTGCGTCTTTGCAATTTTACAACACAAAAATTTCGACTAAACTTCAGCGCCATTCATTTCTGGCTGGATACTACGACGATTCTTCCATGGATCAACACTCCGGAAAAAACAAAAATCCTACTGTGCAAACAGATTTAACAAAATTCTGTCAGTTTCTGAAGCCCAACAGTGGCATCGTATACTCGGTAAACGTAACCCGGCCAATCACGCTAGAAGACTTATCCCGCTTAAGGCTGCGGAAAAATTTTAGTTGCAACCACGGGAAGTCCTACTCTCATCAGAATCTGATTGGCCTCAATTAAAACTACAGGACGACACAATTACTCTACTGATTTTCACAAATACAGATGAGGAGAGAACTACAACACTAAAAGTCGATAAAATAATTCTACATACGAATGCTATAAAGAAACAGGAAAATTCATTGATGTTTTGAGATTTTCCGATTGGCTTCGTCTACTCTACAGTACTGCTCGTGTTGCACAGTTTAAGGACATTCTTCAGCAGAAACGAAAACGCAATTTAAAAATAGACGATTGGTAGATGCCTAAAACTTTACTCTACGAGCACGCTGCTTTCCCTGATACTATCAAATGTTTAACTATCAGCAAAGCATTGAACAAAAAAGATGCTTTACTGGCATACTCACCATTCAGGGATGGTAATCTTATTCGTGCGCGAGGACGATTGATACAATCACCAATGCCAGATGCAACTAAGTACACTTTTATTCTACATGCAAAGGAACATTCGGTTCAAATTATGACGAAAAACGCTCGTCATAAATGCATGCACCTTGGCGCTAAATTTGTACGACACTAACTGCAACAAAGCTTCACATTTTTGGGTCTTAGAAAAGGCTTCAGACACATTCGCCACCACTGTTTCTTGTGCCGCCGCTTTCAAAGGAAAGGTTTAAACCCTTTCATGGCTGATCTATCTGTCCAGCGCTTCGATGACCCGAAAACTAATCCATATCATTTTCAAGAACGTTGGACTTGACTACATCGGTCCATTCTACATTGCTGAAAAAATACCACAAAAAACTACCATTGTCTCTTAATTTGATTAACATCGCGTGCAATCCACCTCGAAACTTACGACAATCTGACAAATGAGAAGTGCTTGACAGCAATTCGTAGATTCATGGTGTGACGAGGGTCTCCTATATGATCCTTTTGGATAACGCAGCATACTTTGTCGCCGCACGTAAACAAATCATGAAACAACCCTTAAATATCAACAAAGACGAAATAGCAACCAAGCTTCAGCTGATGTCAATCGACTGGCGTCTTAAACCACCATCTACTCCTCATTTTGATGGGGTATCAGAACGTCTTATTTCTGTCAGCAAAGGAGTCTTTCTATTGAATTTATGATCGGACAGACTTTCCAGTGATCTTTTTTCAACTATTGTAGTAGAATGCGAAGGCCTCATCAACTCAAGAACACTGACCTATGTAAGTTGCAACATTAATGATACATTACGATTAGAACCTAACCACTTCCTACTTTGGAGGCCATTCATTTACGCTCCCCCAATTTCAATCTACGACCAAACAAATACCAACAAACAAAGCAACAAATCCTTGAAGCTAACCAAGAACCGACTAGACAGCTTCTGGAAGGGACTACTGAAAGAATACGCTTCAAACTTGATCGAACCAAGTAGAATCAAAAAGAGGAAACTATAGAAAAAATTGATCTCGTGTGGATCCTCGAAGACTTTACTCCGCGAGGCATATTGTCCCTGGGTAAGGTTGTTGAAACGTTTACTGTTCCTGATGGCATTGCGCGCTCATGGCAAACTAGGCCCCCTACATCTCCCATTTCAAATGTGACACCCATATCTTCCCCTCTAACCTGCGAACCATCCGATAACAACCGCGCTTACCGAGCGCTATTTTTTCTTATTTTGACCTATTGTATTAAAGACACTAACTTACAAAGCACCCTCCGAAATTACGTTCCCATCACCCAGATGTATATCTTCTGTCCCCTAACCAAACTCCAAAATGTAGACGAATCCCGCCCACTAATTGTCCCTCATGAACTCCTCCAGCCCGTTGAAGTCCCAATCCTAGAATTCAACTTTAACACTCGCTATAATCACAAATTATATACTCTTATTCAAAACACACCGTATGAACAATCACCTAACACTGAAGAGCACAACATCATTAAAGCACTCGAATTGCTTTGGCCACTTCCGCAAACTAAACACATCATTCGTTTGCTAGCTACACTAATAACCTCATCTGATATCATCCACAATGTTTTTCCCCATGGCTTCTTCACCGACGATTAGGTAAAATGAATTCAATAATTTACTAATAATTTCAAAAAACACTAGCCATTCTTATTCAATCTTTTTCTTTTTTCTTCATAGGTACAATCAAGAATCATCTACAAAACAAAAACAAATTAAAAAACAGAAACTTTTCATCAATTCATAAATTTTTATCAACAAATTCAACAATTGAAGCAGTAAAATTATCCCATACAAGGCAGTAAATTGATATATAAATTCTTTTCCCCAATGCAGTAAATATTCATTCAATTGACAATGAATTAATAATTTCAACCCCCAAATCAAGCAGTAAATTTCATAATTTTAAGGTGGTAAATTTAAAAAAATTGTTCATAAATTGCAGAAAGCTGTACTAACCTTTTTAAAGACGCTTCTTTATATTCACTCGCCCATAAATTCTATCCAAATTCGCATTGCTCGCCCATAAAGAATTGTTTCAAATGATGAATTTAAATTTCAACTTTCACAGATAACAACTCTAAAAAGCTTTAATACGTTTCAAACTTTCCTTTAACCCGGTTGAAAAGGAATTATATAATAATCCAAACTAACCAACGCAAGCTTACTAAACACCACAAACCCCAACCTAACAGCAATACTAAGAAAAGAAAACCCACGGTGCCCAAACTGGATTAACACCAGCTTAGAGCTACATAAATTATTCTTTTGAAGACTACTTTTAAGTCTGAACACAAAAGAACAAAGCACCAAAAAATCGAAAGACAAACCCAAAACAAACAATTTGATTTTTGAGAAAAAGACATAACTAAGACAACAAAAGAAAACAACAGTAATAAAAGATAGCTTGAAAGGTTGAACTAAAACAGGACCCTCGAAAACGAGAGCATGAAATTATACCCTCACTTCTGGCCTAACCCACCAGAAGAGGCCGTCCTGAGCATGCTCTATAGCCGGCCTCGCCCACCGTGCTACATCCACGCTTTGTGACACCCACGAAACTACTTTTGACGGGAGTTACTCAAGTGTGAGTAGCTTTTAAAAATAACTGAACTAAATAATAACGCTTTTGCGACAAAAAACTAATACAAGATTATGACTAAAAAACAAGATTAACAAAGATTTCTATATGTAAATATTACAGGGCAAAATAAAGATAATATACAGCCCAAAGATGAGCAGCAAGGAACTTGACAACCCAATCACACTCCAACTACGGAATGGCAAAATACACCCCATATGCTGCCTACAGTCACTACACTCAATGGATTTGAAGTACGATTTGGCATCGCAGCAAAAGAAATCTTTTGCAACAGAACAATGGTCATCTCGATGTTCAAGTATACGTACAGATACAAGTCACCAGGCACTGTATCCAAAGTCGACTACATGCCGTTCCCAGACGAGATTGAGAATAGAAATGTTCCTATCAACCAGATCAGCACTCATCACAATCGATCACAACCCATAACACGATCTCCCGAAACTAACGTGATAACATTTCTTCTTCCAAACCAGAAAAAACAATATGCTCGCAACCTCTAAAGAAAAACACCACCATCCATTATATACTACAATAAGAACATTGAAAAACTAAATCTCTCTAAAGCCTGATGGGTGAAACCAGATCTAAACAAGTATTTGTCATTGGTTATTATTATGATATTTTATCTCTATAAAATATTAAATACTAACCAATCATACTCCATCAAACTAACAACCTATTTATTTGTATAGTGTTGAAATTACTTGTAGTTTCAACACCAGAACAATTTGAATTAAACTTAGAATACAGTTGTTCTCATTCTGGAACTAACTCGCGCAAACGGGTGTACACTAGATCTATTGAGACTAGGAGATATAAGAGTAGGATTAAGATCGGTATTAGACTAAGAAGTTGCACGAATCTATCGGGCCGAAAATAAGATAGCGTGATGAGCAGACGGTGTACCCTATCTGAAATTACTCTATGAGTACAGTACAAAAAATACATAACTCAACTGATCAAAATAGATTAATATTGGCCCTCAACTATACTTATATTTGATTCAGAGAGGGGGAATGTTGAATGATGTATTCAATAGTCATAAACTGGCAGTATCCATGTCTAGTCTGTGACCTTGATTGCTAGCTTTAAGTATCTGAAAGTGATCAACCACTACTACAATGAATTATATACAGTTGTTCGTTTGAGCCAAACCCTTATTAAGGACGGACAATGTCAATGTGTTGTGATCCTGCGAAAAGTGGTTACTTAATATACTTGATTTTTGTAGTTATAAACTGTTAAACTAATCACTATACCAGCTTCTTCGGTAAGTATTTGATTTTTGCTATATGCTGATTGTTTAGATTACAAATGCTCGTTTATTTGGTAGCGTGGACACTATAGCTGACAAAGAAAGATAAGTTTCACTCCGAGGTAAGCGCAAATCTGCTACTTTTAATATCCGCATTCAAGATACTACTCAAAAATTCGTAACTTAGTTCGAAATAGTTAGTAGATCTTTGAAACGATACATAAATGGCTGTTTGAAAACTACTGGAGCAGTTTAAGTCCATAATTCATCCGGAGGATTCGGTGGCACCCTTTTCTGTTTTTTTCTTCCTAACTTTTCCAGTGGATGACATGGCAGCTGCCGCTTCCAGAGATTCGGCCGCGTCTGCGTTGTCGGCTGCTTTCTTTTTGGACAGTTTGTTGACACATTTCTTGATTTGAGTGGTTAGTTTGGTAATAATTTCCAGACTGAATTTCTGAAAACCAAAAATTAAGGTTTTGATTTAATGCATTAACGATGACAACAAAAAAGGCCAAAAAATCAAGGTTTGAAATCAAAATGGAAGGTGAACATAGTCATCCCTACAGCAGGTAAAGAGTCGACTGTTATCTAACCTATTTCCAAAATTAATTTGATTTCTCCTAACCCTACGGTATAAAATACCGACAGTAAGCCCAGACGGAGGGATGGGTAAGCTTTTAACTTTTCCGGTCTTTTAATTTATCCCCTCTCACCATTAATTCTGGTGAAAAATTTTATCTTCGGAAGTCATGCGAAATGGAATTCTACGACACGTTGGTACAATGGTCTTCAGGCGCTTTTTTACTAGAATCTATTTTGGCCGACTAGCCGTAAATTCTAAAAACGGTGAAAAAACGTAAATTCTAAAAACGGCTCTGGGTGGAAAGCAACTTTTTGGTCTATCTTTGTAAATATGGCTAAGACCATTTTTTTGCCAAAAAATTGACTGCGAAGCAGAACATGATCCTAAATATGGTTGCTCTAAGATAAATATCCGAAGAAACAGAAAAATTCGTAATTGTTGACTGACTAATAAAAAAAGGTCAATCAAATTTTGTAAGAAGCCTCCCCGTCAAAAAATTCTTGCGCACGCCACTCAAAATAGGTATGTTTTTAAAAATATGCCAAATACAAACAGATAAAGTCCCATGATAGCATACAAGTTCTAAATCGTCGTTTTAAAACCGCAAATTGACCATTATGGCTATTTCAAATACCACTTTGATGATGAGGTTATCGACACTTTTTAAAAATGATAAGATATTGACTGAATTCGAACCTCAGATCTTATTAATTTAAACTATAAACGACAATTTTTACCTCTTTGCCGTAAATATCGAAATTACTGAGAGAGCCGTCGCTGTTTTTCTTGATGATCACAGGGTAGTATGTGCAGTTCTCCTTCAGTAGATTGTAGCCCCTTTCTTTGGGGGAGAAGTCAGCAATGTTCATTATCTGTCCACTTTCGTCTATCAATTCAAGGTCGCAGATAGCCCCTTGATCGGTTAGTAATTTACTCTGCAAAATAATATACTTTTCGAATATTTTAGCAAAAACTGCAGTAAAAACTGGTTTTTTGTGGTTTACTTGTTGGTTTTTGGTCTTCATATGGTTTTTGGCAAAATTTTATCATTGCACAAAAGTTATTGCAAATAATTTGCAAAATTCGCAGATATCCATCAAATCAGTAACTGCTTTTTATGACAAATTATTTTCTCTAAAATACGATATAATTGGAAAAGAAGAAAATTATTCTTGCCTTTAAGTGTTCCAACAAAAGCACAAACGAGCAGTCTAAATTAACAACAAAGAACTCTTCAACTGCAGGCGGGATCTCCTTAGGCCCTTCCCCTGAAGAATTAGGGCGTGATTGGTCATTTTCGGGGTCAACTACTGCAATTGAGGTCAAAGGGTCACCAGTAGCAGCTGAAGTCGCACCCTGTTTAGTACCTGGTTTTGCCACTTTATTTTGTTCCGTTTTCGAATCTTCAGCTTGAGTTTTGTTTTGCCCGACAGCGCTTTTCTCAGGAGATTGTTTGCGCGTTTTATGTTCTCTTTTGTTTTCTTTGTTGTTTCCGTCTTTCTCGGCTAACTGCTGTTGTTTTTGATTAGATTGCTCGTTTGTAGTATTGCGGTTTAGTTGAGCAGAAGGATTATGGAGCTTAAAACAAAATTCAAAATTCCGAAAACATTTCATCAACTCTTTCTTATAAAACATTAACAAAGGAAATAAACCAAATCAAACCAAAAAACCAAAAAATCTAAGAATGAACAACCTAAGAATGACAGAAAAAGCAGTCAGTGTTAATGACCTTCAAAAATTTTGTAGCAATGTATTTTATTTATTTTTTTTGTAAAAAAAGCTTATCATACAATTCCCATATATGGAAATTATATGATAGGAATTTTTGATGGCGACAACCAAAAGTTTTTTCAAGTTACTTCTAAACTTTCCAGAAATAACAAATTATGTCCTCAAATAAACATTTTTTTAAATTGCATGAAAATTTTATATTTTTGTGTGTATAACGTAGTCCTGGATACAGGAATGTTAAATTTTTTCTTTTCAGCCGGATAATTTTTTTTTCAAAATCTCTCAAAACACATTTTTTTTCAATGACATGTTTATGTTTGACTTGATCAATGCCAGATTAATTTAAATTTCTTGATATAACAAAGTGATCCACTTTGAGCCATTTCAGGTTGTTCCGTATACATTATAAACAAGACCGTCCAACCTATGGTGACTCTAGATTTGAATAAGCCAAGGTCATTGTCACTTGTGTTCAGTTACGAACACAACGTAAGAATTTTCAGAAATTTAATTAAACTTTTTTATTGGCTTATGGAAAAATGCTTATAATACAATTTTAATGTATGCAAAAACTGTATAACAGAAATTTCATACAATATTTTGTGCGTATGGAATTCTATGGAATTGTATCGTGAGAACTTTTCGAATATGGAAATTTTATGATCAGAAGTTTTGATTATAATAGATTCAAATGGATTTCATGGATTTGACAACACATTAAGTTTTTTTTTCGTTTTTAATCAATGCTAGTTGATTTTATCATTAAAAAAAAACTTTTTTAGAGACAGACAATCAAAATCCAATATATTCTATATGTTTTTTATTCAGACGTCTTTTAATTCTATATTTTTAAAATTAAATTATCAAAAGAACGTCACTTTCAAAGAATCGCTCACTTGATCTTCGTGGCCTCATCAGGGACGTGCTAAAAACTATAATAACATGACTTTCGGTCGTTGTGTAATGAGTCGAACTAAGCTGCTCATTTTATACTTTGATGCTAAAAGTTTAATGCTCCTTATTTACGCGTGGCGAAATATCCCGCACGAAAATATCCCGCACAAATTTCCAAAATGAACTGAGGCAAGCTAATTGGTCTTACTATTTTCAGACTCGACTCGAATTTTTACGCTTAAAATTATTATAAACAGCCCAAAAATTATAATTTGTCAATATTACTTCAAGCAAAATCTATTCAAGACAAAACCTATATTCAAGACTTTAAGCAAAAACTATTCCTTAATGTTCCAATTGCAATGGGCAATTGGATTATTCAGAGCTTTGCTCTGATATGAGCAGTCTTGTTAGCAACAAACACTTGAATCATTGCTCATTCCACGAATTGAACATGCTTGCATTGGTTTGGATAAAACAAAAAGAGCTAGCGAAATTTTTTTATTTGAGTTCTGCTGTGCAATAAAAGCTCATCGTAATTTCGTAATTCAATTGGTGCTTGTTATCTATAGTAAAAGTTGACAAACTTCAACGGCAACTAGGTCGGCGGCTTCAAGGGAGCGATTCGGATACCAGCAAGTGCATCAATATCTATGTTAGAAAAAATTTTTGAACGTAAGCTTTGATTCTCGTGGATCTTCTACTGTACAACAAAGGGACTATTCTTATTTAATTGCGTCTTATTATACGGAGTCAAACTGACAAGACAACAGCAAGCTGGTAGTTTGCGCTGCGGACTATTGCCATGAATGATGATTGATTGATTTGGGATACCAGCGAAAAGCGCAACGGCCATGTAAAAGTATACTTCTTGTAGTGAAATAATTTATCTCTGCGTCTAATTTTTTGACAGGGTTGCATCAATTACACTCCTTCTGGGTTTATGACGTTTTTAACGTAAAAAACGTTATTAACTGTTAATAACGGTAAAGTTTTAAAAAGTTGGAGCATTGTACCAAACAATGAATTATATTCAATGAGATTTTAGTACACGGAGACAAAAAACAAGTTTCCCAACTTTTTCGGAGTCGAGGCGGTTTCGCAAGTCCGAATGGACAAAACCCATTGTCGAGAAAGCTCTTTCCAAGCCCGCTGTGGTAGGTACTAGCTTCAACATTTTGAGCCAGAGGTCAGCCAGTGCATCAGGCAATGCATTGCAACAGCTTATAACAGCAGTTTATAATAAGCGTGGTTAAATAACGTTAAATAACAGTGTTAATAACAGGTAAATAACAGAGGTGTTAATTACAGTGCAACCCTGATTTTTGAACAACCCTCATAATAATTAATTACAGTGCAACCCTCATAATAAGAAAAAATGCCGCTTGTTTTGAAAGTAGCAAATTATGTTCAGTCTAGCAAAAAATAAACAACAAAAAATAAGTAAGGAGGGACAGGAAAATTTTCATGACCTGAGCACTAGCAATTTAACTAACAGTTTAAATATTTTAGTCTCGTAAAAAGGTAGCGACCATTAATTAACTCAAACCTTCAGCTTTAACTCAAAATTGACCTGAGAAAAACGTGGTAGTGTTTATGTCTCGAAGCCAAAACAACTTCATGCTGCTTATCAATGCATGAGCCCCGAATGAAAAAAATATTGTTTGAGTTATAAAACGATGCCAGTTGACTGCTCTATTTGACATCTGGATTTAGGGGGGTTTCGTGTCACTGTTTGAGTCCTGATTTGTTTTTAGCTATTGTGAACTTATTTCAAGCATAAACTCAAACTTTTATTAAACTCAGTATAAATTCAAAAAATTACATATGATCTGGTTTTGAAAAACCAGATCTCGTTTGAGTTTCCTTTTTCAATTTGAAAAACCTGACAATATTTGAAATAAATACTATGTCTTGTCTCTATAAAAACGATGTCTCTGCCAAAAAAAAACTGTCTAGTTCTCAGCAGAAAAACGGTTGTCACAAAATGAACTTGTCATTAAGACACGGTTGTCTCTTAAAATTTTATTATAATAACTGCCATAAGTTTTGAATTAACTCAGTATAAATTTTAAAAATAAATTGATCTGTTTTTGACATATACAAATTACATCTATGAATTTCTTCAATTTGGAAAAACCTGATGAAATCTATAATGAGTTCCTTTCATGCCAAAAAACTATGCCTTGTGCTCAACAGAAAAACGGCTGTCACAAATTGTCATTAGGACAAGGTTGTCTCAAGTTCTTTTTTTCAAAATTTTTTCAAATCGCGAGCAATAAGGCAATTTCACTTGCCTCGCTGCAAAATTTCAGAACTAAAAAACTGAAGTTAACGATGACATCTCCAAGATGTCCATAATATGAATTCTTTAAAAAAAAACTCTGTAAGAAGATAATTAACAAAAGCATTCTAGTTGAGGGTTTTCCCGATTGAAGAACTTCAGTATGTCATTTGCAAGCTAGTTCCGATCCAAACCCAACAAGAACTTTTCAAACTTCAAACAAGCGAAAATGAAAAGCTTGAAAATGGTTGATTTTTTCAGTGTTTAATTTCCATTGAATTTCTCTGGATTTTGCTCAATTAAAGTCGAATATTTCAAGACGAAACGATTCATGAGCACGATTAATTCAAAAGTTTTTGGCAAAGAAAATCTGTCCTGACAAACACTGGTTATAATTGAAGAACACGATTCACGCAAAGACTTCAAATTTCTCGCATATCTATTTTACCTACAGAAAAGATCTTATGCAACTTTTTATCCATAAAACGTCAACAACATTTATAATTATTTCGGAAACATCATCAGACGCAATCATGGCTGTAACTTTCAAGAAAATATCATTCAAATGTATTAAAAAGTCAATTTTTTGAAAAGGACTTTTTTCGATATAGTTTTTTGGAACAATTCCTTAACGTTTTCATGAAAAAACTTTTTTTGGGAATGATGGCTGACATTTGAATTATCTGGAAGTAAGCCGGGCTTGTCATGCTACGAAGCAACTGCATGGTAGTGCTGATTTAAATTAACCGGACAAAACGAGCTAAACTTGATATTTAAAACGCGTTTTTCTCAAGTTGGGTTGAGTGTTCAGCTGAAAACTTATGAAGACAAAACTTACTTAAAATTTTAGCAAAATTAATATGGTGCAACTTGTTTTGCGAATTTCGGGCTCAAAATTTTACCCCAAAAATGGGTCATTTTGACTTTTCTTAGATAATTAAAAGCTACGCCAAAAACACCCAGTCGATCACAGACTTAATTATGTCAAAGTGAGCCCCTTACGTAGCCCAACAAACTTTTAAAAGGGTATATTCTCCAAAACATTGTATAAGTTAATTTATTTTTGTTTGCTAGACAAAAAGGTCGTTTTTACTATATAAAATACCAACTTTTTATTTAAAAACAATTTTTAAACGGTTTGCAATTTTTTTTGGAGAATATACCCTTTCTAAAGTTTGTTGGGCTATGTAAGGGGCTCACTTTAATATTATTATGTCTGTGATTGATTGGGTATTTTTGGCGTAATTATTGATTAACTAAGAAAAACCAAATTGCCCCTTTTTTGGGGTAACATTTTGGGCCCGAATTTTGCAAACACAAATCAGCCCATGTTAATTCTGCTAAAATTTTAAGCAAGTTTTGTCTTCATAAGTTTTCAGCTAATTCAACCCAATTTGAGAAAAACGCGTTTTAAATTTCAAGTTTAACGCGTTTTGTCCGGTTAATTTAAATCAGCACTGTACACAAAACTGTCAATTAAAATTTATAGCAGTTAAGTGTGTAAAAATTCTAGCCAATCGCTCAAAAGAAGCAAAAACAAAATGACTTTTTGCTCATCAGGATAATAGAAAAGGAGAAGTTACAATACCGGATTGTTATAATTTATTGCGGATCAATGAAAAATAGCTAAAAAGAATCGAGTCAAAATTTGAAATTTATATTAGCGAAAATATTGATGTGGATGAAAATGGCGATCTTCGTCAAACAATCGAAGGCGTAGAACATTTAAAAATTTGAACTGAACGGCAATTGAGCCGACTAAACTTGTGTAAACTCCAGTTAGAACATAAAAAAAGTTTATTAATCCTTTTAACAAAAATTTCTATTCTAAGAGTTTTAGCATTTTATGCGATACGGAGGGGAGCATAAAATTTTTTTTTCCATGTAAAGTTTGGGCTTAGTAAAATTTGTAAGCAAAAAAAAACAAAATATACGAAGTCAAGGTTCACTAGTGATACGTCCATACTGATAAAACTCGATGCAAACGCAGGAAGACACTGGGTTTTTTCCATATTATTCCACTTGCAAGCATCTTTCAAATAGAATATTTTAGTCGAGGGCTTTGTTTTTTGGCTTGCGTTCCCCAGTTGCCTTTTAAAACACTTTAGCGTTGGTCCCCCAAAGTATACACAGCAACTGTAATAGAAATTTCGAGAAAAAACTGACTGCCGCGATCCAGTGATTAACCCAATCTAGTAAGTAAATGAGCTACTGGTGATAGCTACGATATCAAACTCTTACCTTTATCTTGGCAAACGCAATGTGACGTTCCATTTTTTAGTTAAGAAAGCAATTGATCAGCAGCAAAATGTCTGCATTCGTTTTATATATTTTTCCTGTAAATGATGCACCTGGTTTTATAATGGTCATAAATAGCTCTTTTGTCGGCTAAATTGCTATCACCATTAAACAAATCTATCAATTGTGCAGTTTAAAAACTCTTTTCTCAGGATGCATTGAAGCGTTACGTTGACCTTTTTATACGTTATGTTCAGCTTATTTTTGTAAGAGTTCTTGTAAAAACACAAAACCAAACATGAATTAAATCAAAATAATTCATAGAAACATAAATGATAACTTAAAAAACTATCCTAAATTTCAGTATTTTATTAAATAGTTTGTTTACTCCTCAAAATTAACTTTGCATAAGGGGCAATAGTTTTGAACATAAATCCATTTTCTTAGACAATTTTTATGGAAAACGTGCCCACATTTAGTTTTCAGCGCTACTTCCAAACTTTCGTAACAAATTGGGCACAAATTCGGCTCATTATTCTGCTCGTCTGACGAATCTGTACTCCCATTTTCCGACGCCATAAATTCGACAATTTCGAGCTGTTCCAACTTTTTTGAAGCTGATCTTCTAAGTTGAAACTTTCTATAACCGTCTCGACATTGAAGAAAAATTGTACTGTATGCGTGCAAGCCCAACAAAACAGCCCTGAATTTTCCACCCGCATCAAAAATTAGAATGCAACATCCATTTATAAATACAGCACATCCAAAAATAAACAGAATGCAACTTGTAAACAATTTTATGTTGGTCAGCATGTCGTCAAAATCCTGGTTAATATACTTTTTTAGAGGTAATGAATCCCAGGTGTAGAAAAATAGGTAAATAACAATCAACATTGAGACTTTGAAGATGATTTCGGCTGTGAAAAGGGATACGGCAATGTTCCAGGTTTTTATAGGAAAACTGAGAACGTAGTTGATGACCGAGAAGGCGGTAATAAGTTCCACAATGATAAGAATGTAGATTTTGATATGCCTGGATAAATAACAGTGATGTGAATATTCTTACTTAAAGTACTGTTTAACAGATCCTTAATCATGCCTAATTTTTTCACCATTTATTACGAATTTTCTCAGAAAACAAACTTAGGGTGAAAAAATTACCGCAACTATCGATTAACTCTCCCAAAAAACTCCCCACTCCTCGAACTCATTTGAAATACCATTTTTAAATTTTTTCAAGCGTTGTAATATAAGGAATCTTTGCATGGTAATGAATTTACGATTGAGCCCATTTTGAGTTAGGACCGATGGGTATAACTCATAGAGTAATTTCGGATAGGGTACACCGTCTGCTCGTCACGCTATCTTATTTTCGGCCGGATAGATTCGTGCAACTTCTTAGTCTAATACCGATCCTAATCTTACTCTTATACTATCTAGTCTCAGGTTGTTTAACTATTCTCTGCTAGGCTCAATAGATCTAGGGTATACTGGTTTATTGCGGCTGCTGAAGTACTCGGGAGAGTTCAACTAATTTCTAAGTTAAATTCAAATATCTCTGGTGCTGAAATTACGAGTAATTTCAGCACTTACAAATAAGTGGATTGTTAGTTAGATGGATCATGATTGGTTAATATTAAATACTTTACATTGGTAAAATATCTAATTTATCCAATCATAAAATGTAGTTTAGATCAGGTTCCACCCATCCGGGTTTTACAGAGTTTTTTAGAATAGTCTTTCTGCAATTCAAAGGATGGATGATGGACGTTGGTATTTGGCGAACATCTTATTTCTTCTGGGTTTTCTTATTAGAGAAGTCCCAGATTCAATCGTTGTGTCTTCTCAAGACAACGACTGGGTTTTCGCAACAAACTCAAATCTGATTTCAGAATGGTTGGTTATGTCAGGTTTTTCTGTTTCATTGGTGAGAACTTCTTTGTGTTTGACCTTGTCTGGGAATGGCGTGGAGATTGTGCGTGGAGGGGATGCCTGGTTACTCGGATCTGTACGTATACTTGAACATCGAGGTGGTCATTGGTCTAGTTCAATGAAGTCCTTTTCTGCGAAGTCAAGTCGTACTCTAAATCCTTTGAGTTGTGATTGTGGGCGGCATATTGATTGTAGTTGGGCATTCTTTCTCAAGTGTAGTAGGGTCGTTTTGTCTTTGGATGTTCGTCCTTGGTGTTGTATTCTGATTTATGTATTGCATAATGTAATTTACATTTTATAAAACTTTTATTAGTTTAATATTTTTTAATTATGATTTTAGTTAGTTGTTTTCACAAAAGCTTTTTGTTTTAGTTCAGTTATTTTGAAGAGTTACTCACCCTTGAGTAGCTCTTATTAAAAATAGGAGTGTGGTCACAAAGCGTGGATGTAGCACGGTGGGTTAGGCCGGCTATAGAGCATGCTCAGGACGTCCTTCCTGGTGGGTTAGGCCAGGAGTGGGAGTATGATTGCATGCGGTTTTTGTGAGAGGTCCTGTTATGTGACAACGTTTTATGTTGGGTTTGTTGTGGTTTTTCATATGTTTTGTTGGTTGTGTCCTTTTTTCAAAAATCAAATTGTTTGTGGTATGGGTTTGTCTTTCGACTTTTTTGTGTTTTATTATTTCTTTCTTAGACTTTATAATAGTCTTCAAAAGAATAAATTATCCAGTTTTAAACTGGGTTAATCCGGTTTGGGTACCGTTGGTTTCCTTTTCTTAGTCATGCTGTTATGCTATGTGTTGTGGTGTTTAGTAAGCTGCATTGGTTAGTTTTGTTTAGTATATAATTCCTTTCCAACCGGGTTAAAGGAAAGTTTGAAACGTGTTATCTTGTGTTAGAGTTATCGAGTGTGAAAGCTTGAAACTGAAATTCATTATTTTAAACAATTCTTCGTGGGCGAGCTGTGCGAGTTTGGATAGAATTCTTGTGCGAGTGAATGAAAATATCAAAAGGTTAGTACTGCATTTGCTTCTTATGAATTTACTACATAGAATTTCAATTTTACTGCTAGTTGTTGGGGAAAATTAAGTTACAAATTTTCATCATTATTAGATTTACTGCTTGTGGGGGAAAAATTTATAAATTAAATTACTGCATTGGTATTATATTTATTTAATTGTTGGTGCAAAAATTTAATAGGGTTTTAAACAGTTTTGAAGAAGTTTGCTATTTTTTATTTTTCTTTTGTGACTTTTTCAGATGATCGTTGGATGAAGGCTAAAATTCTAAAGAAAACATGGATAAAGAATGGTGAGTTTCTAATATTTAAATTAGTTAGTAATATGTATAATTCATACTTACCTGTTAGTCGTCGGGGAAGAAACCGTGGGGGAAAATGTCGTGGATGAGATCTGAAGTTGTTAGTAGTTTGGCTAAGATGCGGATGATATTTTTAGTTTGAAGCAGTGGCCAAAGCAATTGAAGTGCCTTAATGGTGGTTAGTTCTTCAGTGCCAACTGCAAATTCATAAGGTGTGTTTTGGATTAGATTATATAATTTGTGGTTGAATTTAGTGTTATGGATGAATTCTAAAATGGGGATTTCTATAGGTTGTACAAACTCGTGTGGGATGAGGAAGGGTCGGGATTCTTCTGCGTTGAAGGTCTTGGTGATGGGACAAAAGATATACATTTGGGTTATGGGATCATAATTTCGAAGAATACCATGAAGGTTAGTATCTTTAATGCAATATGTGAAGTTAAGAAAGAATGGTGAGGTGTATTTGGAATTGATGAATTGAAAACGATGGTGTGGTTGTCTGGAGGGAGTGTGTAGGTCAAAGTGATTTTGGATGAAACGATAATAAGTATATGTGTGTGTTTGTTTAGTGCGCAACATAATATCGTGTGAGCAGTGCAAATCTCTTTCATGTGGTGCAAGGAAATGAAAGGTTAGTGAAAATATTTGGAAGCGTTCTTTAAAACTTTCGTAGGCTTGCGTGTCTGTTAGTGCTTCTGAAATAATGTGGTCAAACTTGCGATCGAAGATATTTAGTGTAAATACATATGGTGTTTTAATGAAAAATTTCTCGGTGATTTGTGGGTTAGCGAAGCGATCGTCGTCTAAGAATTGATCTTGGTTAGTTCTGATGATGTTATGATCGTAATATTCTAGTGTATATTCATTAGCTCGGGGTGCAGTGTGTGTTTTTAGTGATTTTTTATATCCAATGTAAGTAAATTGTCTAGGTGTTAGTGGTGTAGTGAGTCGATATAGCATGTCCTTATTTCGTTCTATATCGATATGAGTGTTAGATAAAGGTAAGCAAAGGGGATTTGTAAAATGATAATATGATGTCCAAGGAAGGGTAGGCATTAAAACGTATTCGTCTACAAAGTTACGTGTCTCGTTAGTGTCATGAGGGGTGTTTAAGGTGTATTGTGGAAATGAGGGTAAGGTGATAGCTAAAAATTCTTTTGTGTTAGTGTGTTGTGGATGGTTGATATATTCACGGGCTGTTCCTGGTTTCGCTGGGAAAGGATGGTTGGGGAACTTCCTTTTAAAAGTGCGGTAAGCTCTATTAGTGCTGAGTGAAGATTCAGTAGTTGTGGATGATGGTGCTAATGATTCAGTATAAATTGAAGAGGGTGTAGGGGTAGGAGGGTTGGATGAATCTATTGTGGATGAGATTTGGTTTATGGTTGGGGTGTCAAGGTGATAGGGTTGTTGTTGTAGGGTAATGAAATTATCTAGTTCTGGGGAGATTCGGGGGGTGTCTGGAGAATGAGATGATTGGTCTGAGTGAAGTGAGGAGTAGGTTGGAGTGACTTGGGAAGCATAAGAGGGTGTAGAATTGGTTGGGTCAGGGTTATTTGGTAGTATGGGTTGAAAAGGGGGTTGGGAAAAATTTAAGGGATTGGTGTGAAAAATATTTGATGGAGATGGTTCAGAGTCGGCAAATTCATCGGGGGTTTCAATATTCGGGTTATTGAGTTGTGAGATGGAGTATAAAACTGAAATGTGTGAATTAGTATCGGAATTCATGCCGGATGTTACACTACTGGATGGGAAATCGGGTGGCGGAAAAGCAAAAAGTGGTATTATTGGGATTGGAGTGGTGAGGTTGGTTGGGTGGGAATTTGATCGGTGTAGGGATCCAAGTTGTCGGCTCATCGTGGGCTAAAAAAA